AACACGTTAAGAACAAACGGCTATGTCGGAACAGCAGTTAATTACACAGCGAAAAATGAGGGTGTAGTAGGTACGTCGCAAAGAATGCAGATGCAAGTTGTCAAGACGTGTCAATTGTCCTGCCCGGTCAAATGCACTTGAGAGATCACAGCAACGATACTTAGTCGATGACGTCTTACGACCCGGGCCCAAGTTCGCTCCCTCCTCCATTCACCACCTGTGCAAATACTCCAGCATGATACTAGTGGCAAGTGCGTATCTCGTCAAAAAGGAGCAACGAACACTAGTGTGAATAACACTGACTCGCGCGTACGGAGCATAATCCCCACATGGTTGGACCGGGAACCACGCTCTCGTCGAGGTTCTGCGGACGCGTCGTCTCGTCCCCCGCGATGAGTATGTACGCCATCAAGACCTTGAGCTCGTTCGACGCGAAGAGGCGTCCGAGGTTGCATGTCCGTCCCAGAGCTTCCGGTCGCTGTCGACGACCGGGCGGCGGGGATTCGGGGGGCCAGCGCGAGGAGGTGTGCGGGATAGTAAACCCGCGGAGCTCGCGCGCGCCTGCCCCGAGATGCGCGTGCTGCACCTCCCCAGGACTGGGTTTGCTCCGAGGATCTTGTACAAGTTCGTCAAGTCGCACCGTGCTCTGGACGACCTCAAGCTGGTCCCGAATGATGTATGTGGAGGTAGGCCGCGGCGCAAGAGATGTGCGCGTTCCTCCGGATGTTGTTCCAGCCGAAATGGAGTGGAGTTCTGTGTAGTCTATAGACCTAGTGAGGGCACGCGTGCAGTCATATGTCACAGGTTGTATCTTTGGGCGTCGACGGTGCGAAAGGCGCACGACGGTCTGGCTCCGGCTCGGCTTCTGTATATAGTCGCGTCTCCTGTGGTCGCTTCCACGGGCGGTGAGCGGGCGCAAAAGCTACGGAAGAAGCCCGCCGCGGTTGAGGATGGTTGTGCTAAAGAACGAGGCGTGGGTGAAGGCAATGGGGACGTTGTCGGAGGAAGGGATGGACTTCATGCGGGGCTGATGAGCGCTTGTGCCACAGAGGGGCTGGTTCGGCGCGCGACAGGGCCCTCCGCTTGAAGTGTGAGTTTGATAAGTACCAAGCGCAAATACTTCGCCCTCGACTGCAGGTCCTTACGTACATATCTAGGTTGGAGGCATGAGTCTTGAGACAAGCGCGATTTGATCATGATTCATGTGCCTCACAGCGTGATCCTGATCACGAGACTTGTGATCGACCGTGGAGGATCACGATCACGCTTTAAGCGGCAGTCGAGACGATGCGCCGCGGACGCGTCTCTTGCTCCCCACCATCGTTCGATCCTCGCTGGGACTGCTCGTCAACCTACACTGGTCGTAGAGGTATGCCTATCATCACACTGCATGCGGATCCGAGTCTCACCTCCCTCGCCAAGGAGATGTCGAGCCCTCTCCGGCTTGTACACGACGTCTTTCCGGGGATAATCTCAAGCCTAGACAGTACGGACGAGGCGTCTCGCATGGCTCTCCTCGCGTTCTCCCTGTCTTGTAGAGCTCTCTCCACTATCGCTCTGAGTGTTCTCTGGAAATCACTACCCAGCGATTATCCCTTGGTCTCACTTCTTCATACCTTGGGAATCGCACAGCCCCAAACCAATGCATTGGACGAGGATCAATATCCTTCCTTCTCATATTCGGAGTGGTATTATGCAAGTGTTTCACGATCGCTTGCGATATTATTCTGAGAACTGACATCTTCGTTGTAGACCGTCGCGCACATCGAGTCAGCGCACGACCTACGGTTGCACCCAGCATGGACCCACTTCAAGATGTATGCAAGTTATGTACAAAAGATCACCCTCTCGTTCTCCACATATCCACAGAGGCCATCGATTTGGACAGAACTTGATGCATTGCTTACGAAGGACGACTCCCCTCTTCTCTCCCGTCTTCGTTGGGTCACGCTGAAGCATCAGCACGCTTACACCCAAACCTCGATGCAACAGAGCGGACAGCTCGCACTGCTATCACCCAGTGTACGCTGGGCGGAGATTGAAGGTATCTATTATACTACCTCGAAGGGTTGGAACACCGTAGTTTCCAACCATCTCCTTGCACGCTGCCCCAACTTGGAAGGCGCTACTATCGCTACTACCGAGTGGATATCCTTGCTTTCCGAGCACCGACATCTGAAGATACTTCGCGCATACGGGGACGATCCGCAGGCCGAAAATATAGCCTTCATAGCCAACCCTCCCACACTCCAATCACTCACTTCCAACACCAGTTCCACCCCCCGATCCCGCCCGACAAATCTTGTGTCTCTACCTTTTCTTCAGCACCTCGAGATCTCCGTTGACCGAAACGTGTCCTCTCTTCCCATATTCCTCTCCACCGCGCTTCCCGCCCTCCGCTCACTCTCCTACACCTTCGACCGCCGCGGCTACAACGGGGACCTCAGCCTCCCCTTCAACGCCATCGCAGCCACCCACTCGAATCTCACCGAACTCACGCTGAACATCCACTCAAAGTTGAGCCGCCGCATCCGCCTCTCCGACGTCGTCGCCCCCCTCGCGCCTCTACAGCGCCTCCGCGTAGTCAACGTCACCGTCAAAGGCGAATACCTGGTCTACAACGCCAACGACCTCCGCAAGATCCCCGCCATGTGGCCCGCCCTCGTCGAGCTCCGGATCGCGGGGGACCTCTACACCCAGCGCACGCGCAGCGCGGCACCGCTCGGCGCGCTGCTGGCGCTCGCACGCGTTCTCCCGGAGCTGCGCGCGCTGCAGCTCCCGCAGACGTTGTTCACCCCCGGGGCGCTGGACGTTGCCGCCGCCGCCGCCTCCGCCGCGCCGCACCGCGCGCTGCACGACCTGCGACTGGGCGCGGTGGAGGTGTGTGGTGGGCGGGAGGAGGACGCGAAGCGCGAGGTCCGCGCGTTCCTCAGCGCGTTGTTTCCGAACGCTGGACATCGGGTCGACGTCAGGACGGACTTTGTTGCGGAGCCGTGATAGAGGATGGACGGGTATCGGTGATGCGCACGCCGCGCGGCCACGCGCGTCCGGCGCGCATCGTACCAAACGGCCCAACTACAACCGCTCCGCTACCAACCGCTCCGCCGCCGACACACGCGCGCATCGGATTCGACAATCCCCCACACCCCGCGCGCCGACGCGCGCGCCCCATGCCAGCCCGACGTCGCCGCCACCGCGTTGCTGCGCGCGCACGCGCGGTTCCCTCTCGTTGCCCCGCATCTCCCGCTCCGCTCCGTTCCGGCTCCCTTCGGTCTAGTTTTACGACATCCGAGCTCTTTCGGTACCTTATCCACGCTACCAACCACCTCCGCATGTCTCGCTATCATATCTCGTGACCACATGGTCGCTGCGCGGCCTCCACTTTACACTCCCTCGTCTCTCTCCCTACGTTCCTTTCGATTATTCTGCCTCATTCCTTCGCCGGCATGCCCGCTCTCAGCCTGCACGGACTCGTTACTACGCCTCACACCCACCCATGTATTTAGTCTAGACGTCGTTGTGCTCTATCTACAGTTTTCGACGCCCCCCACAGTGCGTGCTACTCACCCCAAGACATCCGTCCGTCTGCCGCCGCCGCCTCCGCCTTCAGCCCTCCGCCTTCCGCACCTCAGCCTTCAGCCGCCGTCCGTCTCGCCTCAGCCGTCCCATCGTCCTCCGCATCGTCTCCGCACTCATCGCGCTTCTTCCCTCTCCTTCACGCGCTCGTCTTCTCCTCTCGCGCCGGGCCGACTTCCCGTGGTACAAGCTCGACGGACTCGTACGCGTGCCCTCGCACCACTCTTTCGCGCGCCTCCCGGCGTTAGCGTCCCATCATCGGGTCTCCGCGACAGGATGTAATGCGTGATTCAACCCGACGGACATTGTGGTTGCGAGCGAAGCGAGCAGTTAAGCGCCTTGAGAGGGTGAGCTGAGATCACAACAAGGACAAACTTCACGGTACAGCGTCTATTTTCAAAATCGTCAGTCTTGCATGTTTTGCCTCTATGTCAACATAAATCGCTTCTCGCTGCTATAAAATTGATATTCGTACTAAAGTATAATACATCTAACACTTTTGAAAGTTTGAAGGGATTTGGTGCGGATGTGCTCAATATATGAGTGAAATATCGCCAATGGTGGTCAAGTCACGTGCATGGTTGAATTCTGCGGGCGCTGCAGCCAGTGCAAGCGCTTGTCGTGCTCATTGTTCCAACGACGACAGACCAATGGCATCTGCGTCCCAAAAACCATTTTGAGAGCACTACGGGCAGCTTTTCATGCCTCAGTTTGCACCTGTATGGTCATTCACTTAAGCCATACAGAGTCTCTCATCAGGAAACGCCTTTGGTTCCATCCGCGCCGTAAGGTACTGCATGGAGCGATGGAGCGATGGAAATCGCCCCCTGTTATCGGGAGACGGGCCGATCCGGGAGCTTCGGGATGGAGCGGCGGGTCTCCATCTAGCTCTCCGAGATTCCATCCGGAGTGCGCGGTTTCCATCCACGCACGTCCGGCGACTGTGGACTCCACGAGAGTCGGGATGGATCAGTGGGTCTCCATCTAGAGACCGATTTTCCATCCGGACTGCACGCTTTCCATCCAGGTTTGCCCGGCGACTGCGGACTCCACGAGAGTTGGGATGGATCAGCGGGTCTCCGTCTAGAGAGTCCGTGTCTGTCCGGACTGCACGCCTTCCATCCAGGTGCGCATGGCGACTGCGGACTCCACTAAAGACTGGACGGATAGCACGTCGTGCATGTAAATCACATATATCGAGTGGAAACGACAGTCGGTACATGGACGCCGTTCGATATATCGGATAACAAGGGCAGCCTGGTTCATGCAGCACACGTGTAAAAGGACATTAAAAGCATTGATAGGAAGGGTAATGTAACGAGCGGGGGCGATTACGGTACAGGAATAGCAGCAGTAAACGAATCTAGTGTAATGTTGTCAGAATGAGCTTGTGTATATGAGGGCAGTCAAGATCTCGATGCTCGTTAGTGACCACGAGATGGTCGTCCCGCCTCGACCTCGTCAGCATCGGACGTGTCTTCCGGCTCCCCTGACGCTGCGGACGTGTCTTCCGGTTCCCCCGAGGGTGTTGACCGGCTGGTAGACGAGGGACCTTCAACGCGAGGCGGATGGCGGCTGCGTTCGTTCGCACAGGAGGGTGAGTAGAGTCGGATGGGTGGTGACGACGCTTGCGACACTGACGGCTCATCATCGCCGGAGTCATCACCGTACTTCGATAGCATGTACTGGAGTTCTTCTTCCATCGCTTCAGGCTCGAGAACGTCGACCACCCGTTCAACATTGTCCGCTTTCTCGACACACCCGGAGTACGCTCTGCCGCCAATATATGGGGATTTAGTGGTGTTCTGCATGCATCATCACATGAAGATATAACCTACAGTCCCTGTTTGAATATATCACGGCGATATCTTCTCCAGAGGGACTTGACAGAACCGGAGTCGTAGTCACTGAGCGCGTCGAGATACTGATCGTATACCTTGTACTCGATCACAGCACGAAACGGGGCAGTGACTTTGAGCCCAGTCTCATACATCTTCAGAGTGTGACGAACCTATGACCCAAATGAATCAGCCTCGCTTTTCTGTTCTGTGAGCAAATCATACAAGACTTACCGACGTCAGGACAAGGGCTATGAGCTCATTCGAGATCGTCTTGAAATGATCCTGATAGATGCAGCCAAGCGAACTTGGATGAGAGAAGAATACCTCGTGGATGATCTCGGCGATGACTTGATGCTGGAAACGACCTCGTCCAGTGACCGGATCCTGCGTGATATGGAAGTTTGCCTCGGCAAGCACACACTGCGGGGACGGACACAGACTGACACACCTCGCAGTGGAACAGTTTGCCTTCGTTAGCGAGGAGCTTGGAAACCTGAGCCTTGTTGGCTTGCTTGTGCTGCTCGTTCCTTGGCGCCTTGCAGAGGCCGTAGGCTGTGGGGACTAGCGTTACCGCGGCCTTCTGAACGCGTGATCGAATGTTCGTGTCTTCTCCTTGAAGCGAACAAGATTTTATCGGAATGTGCAGTCTCAGAAGTTCAAAAGATCACTCACCAGCTTCATGTCCTTCCTCGTCAGCGTGTGGAAGTCATCCGCAAGGTCGCTGAGCGCAAGCGCTTCACGGAAGGCTGATTGCGCAATATTCGCGCGCTCTTGAGGATCCGGAAAGGGATTGGAAGTCGCGAATTCCACCTGTGCCATATCGCCCGCTTTACGCATTATCTTGTATAAGAGATCGTCGTTAACGTAATGCTTGTAGCGTTGGCGAGAGGCGTTGGCAGCAGCGCGTCGAGCAGCGCGTCGCTTGGCTGCATCGTCCTCTGTATCAGAATGATCTGAGAAGGCTTCCGAAGCTGAACGGCGTGCAGGGACGGTAGGCGATGCTGCGGCCATGGGAGAAGGAGAATACTGCCCTAAGAGCGTGAATATCAGTGAACGAGCGACATCGATAGCGTGACACGATCTAGATTCTATCCTCACCCGATGGAGGAGAAACCCGACTAGAAGAGATATCGAACATAGGAGCGGTGAATTGGGGTATAGTAGTAACATAATTGAGGATTTGCGGAGGGTTGGGCGTTTGAGGCGAAGGGATGACATGGGTCTGGCTGGGAATAGCGCGCGAAATTGGCACGTGTGGTTGATGGACTGTTGCCGTCATCTAATCGTCGAGGTGGTGGCTGAGTCGAGGAACGTATAACATACAGTTGAGATTGAATCACATACCATCCCGGCTTGCGACGATTGTACCACACCCAACTGGCCATCCGACGGTGACTCGGAGTTTGGTGTCGGAGGCGAGGGGTTGATGGGCCTTCGAGAACGCAAGCGCGGGTCAATGTTGAAGTCTTCGTCGTCCGATCCAAGCCCCATTTCACGGCGAACGTCGTCAGCCGTCGGGCTTCCGTCGTCATCGTCGCTACTAGTGCCGTCTCCTTGAGAGTGACTGGCTGTTCGTCCTCGGACTGAACCTGGCCGCATTGCATGAACAAGTGCTAAACAGGGAAACAAGGGGGCGGAACCATGTCACTACGAAGCAACGTTATGGAAACTTGACACGATAAACGTACCTGGATCTGCGTGTCGGGTTGGCCGCAGAGTGCGTTTGACACGCCGGCCCATGGTTGACGACTCGTTTGAGCTCGGATCCGTGCTGAGAGTCTTGTCGGCGTTGTCGGAAACATCCTGGGGCGACGTGTTCTCTTTTTGCGTGGCTTGATGAGCTGAAGATGAACGTGTCTGAACACCGGTGGTCTTCGCAGGTCTTCCACGACCCTTTGACTGTCCTGATCCCCGGCCACGGCGATTTGTTCCAGAAGTTCGAGACATCTGCGAACAGAGTTATGAATATAAGGATTTCATGGAAGCAGAAGAGATGCGCTCACTATGAGAATTAGGGGCGGTGTAAAATGAAGGCGGTAACAATAGGACAGTGGTGGTAGTGGATGCGGAGCAGTTGCCACGTCGGTTGAAACGCGAGACGCGAATGTGCTGGAGCAGCGGGCAGATTAAGTAAGCACACTCTCTTGCGCCCTCCTCAGACCGACTCCGACACGCTCACCGTCCTCTGCGTCGGACCCTCTATCTGCTGCTCTCTTTGTGCTATTTCTTCGTCGCCTTCGACCCAGCGCTGCTGCTTCAAGTGCTCATCCTCAGATACCTCATATACGGCCTATGTCAGCTCCGAGACCCCGTCATCTCGCGGGTCGTTCCCTTACCCACGCACCTGAGTCGCTGTCCCAAACCCGAAAAAGACCCCACTCGCCTGAACACGACACGAGGGGTGTCCCGGCTTCATCGGCGACAAGCACGAGGAACCAAGAGGCTGGCAGTGGTTCTGGTAAGTTCAAGATGACAGCTACCCTGCCGACCTGTGTCGCAAACTCACCGGATTATGCAGGGACCTCATCTGTGCACGATACTGCTTGTCCGCAGCCAGGCAAGGCTTACTGGCAGAGCCCTACAGTATTCGAGCTCGAGAGAGCAGCACGACTTCAAGCGGGACAGCCCAATCACGCTCCCATGGCCAGCCGGGGAGAAGTCCAGCTTGCGGACATCATCATCGAAGGGAATTTTAGTCAGGGGAGCACAGATAGGTTGCTGCGCAGCGACATGGTACGTGAGCTCGTATCTTGCATCGGCATTCAGGCATTCATTTTCGCACCTGGTTGTTAAGTTCTCTCGATGCTACACTTCTTCCCCACGTGAATACACCTCGTTTCGCGACTCCAAGTCTTTCCTGGACACGGTCGACCTCTTACCAGGTCCCCGAGCCTCGTGGTCGCTCATCGAAACCAGGATAACGGGGAATCGAGTGGATGAGAAGGGCGACCTGATGACAGAGGTCGTCTACTGCTGGGCTCGAAATCCTGTAGAGGTTGTCGTTGAGCTTCTCGGAAATCCAAACTTTCGAGGTGTTCAAAGCTACGCACCTCGCCGCGAGTATGTGGATGAGCCTGACAAACCGACTCAGTCAACCGACACTCCTGACGAGCGACGAAGATGGGTGATCAATGAGATGTCGACAGCGGATTGGTGGGCTCGTGTTCAGGTGAGTAAGAAGTCGTAGAAGCACAGTATCACGTGACTTACGGCGTATTATCAGGAAGAACTTGCAAAGCGTGGCTTTCCCGACGCCACGATTGCCCCGGTCATGCTTGCTTCTGACAAGACCCAGCTTTCTGTTCTCAGTGGTGATAAGCAAGCATATCCGGTCTATCTTACAATTGGCAATATCGACAAAGACGTACGACGGCAGACATCACAGCAGGCCGTCGTTCTCCTTGGATATCTCCCGGTGACGAAGCTTGAATGTTTTACTCCCTCTGAACGATCAAGAGCTGGTCATCGCCTCTTTCACCTCGCGATGCGGCAGATGCTCAACCCGCTTGTCGACGCAGGCAAAACTGGCTTATGGGTGACATGTGCCGATGGACAAGTCCGGCATGTGTTTCCCATCCTTGCAACGTACATTGCAGATTTCCCGGAGCAGTCCCTTGTCTGCTGCACCAAGAGCAACCGCTGTCCAACGTGCAAAGTTGAGTCAGATGATCGCGGTGAAATGCTTGACAGCTGCTATCGCAACCCTGACGAGACTCTGGCAGCCTTACAAGATATGTCATCCGACGCCGCACGGACCCAGCTCGGTCTACGCGATGTCCCTGAACCGTTCTGGGCGGATCTGCCTCACGTCAACATCTTCGGCTGCATCGTCCCCGATAGTGATCACCACGGGTGTTGGCGACCCGTACGGGTTGGCGGGTCGGGTGCCACGGGTAAGGGTCCGGGTCGTGCTCAGCTAACCCGTGCACCCGCAGGGTAAACCCTTCGCAACCCGTGACGACCCGTAGGCCCAGAACACATTATACATGTAATATATAGTCTTGAATTCAGTCAGAAGGTCGAGCACTAACGGTACACACGGAGTCGGCATGTTCCTGTGTGAGTGAGCAGGGTTAGTCGACGGAAACGTTCGTCGTGGGGCACTCACAGGGTGTGCGCGACATGGACTGACGCATGCTTGTGCGGTGCGAGCACCTCTGACGGCCGCGTATCCCCAGTGGCAGCGTCACCCGCGCGCCGCCTGGGGCTGGCGTGGGCGATGAATCCTGTCCGTGCTGGCGTGAGCGTGGGTTCGGTGGTGCGATGACGTGTCGTAGCCTGCGGGCGGGATCAGTGGGGCTGCAAACAACCTTGATTGGTTCCCGTCTCCGAACAAGATTGTCGATCCCACAGGGGTAGGCTGGCAGCAAGTGCGTGTGGTCTTGCACGTGAGTACTTGAGTTGTGGACAGCGGCGAGTGCGAGTAGCCCTGTGGACGAGTGACGTCGTTCTGGGCGGGTCATCGCTGTATCGCCAGGTGCCTGCTGCTCGGCACACCGATGTTCTCGCGCCATGGATGGTGCTAGAAGAGGTCTACGCCTCGCTCTACGACGGGTACCGGCTCGGGCTGCCCACACGCATGCGGCAGCTCGTCCTGCGTGTGCCGGGCCCGCGCGACGCGGAGGGCGCGGTGCGCGATGAGGGCGGCGCTCCGGGAGGCGTTTGGAAGGGGCACCGGGGGCAGTACGTGTTCGGCTCTCAGAACGGGAGGGGCCGGGTGGGGGACATGCAGTGGTGCTCGTGGAGGTTGAAGAAGAGGGCGTGGGCTGCGGCTGAGAACGGCGGTTCTCCAGCCGCGCATCGAACATGTACGAGTGCACGGCGAGCGCGTGCCTGTCCACGTCCGGGTCCTACACCGTCCGGGCATGCGCGTGAGCGCCGCAAGAGGACACGGAAGGCGAAGTTGAAACTCACAAAGGGGTGGCCAGCCCAGAGCCTGGACAGACAGCCAGGCGTGAAATTGGAGCTGCCGAGGGGCACGCCGCGGGCCTGGGGTCGAAGCAAACCCTCCACCGCTCCCAGACGTTCCCCTGCCGCGCATTCAGGCTCGTCCGCCGGTCGCTCCACACCCACCAGTCCTCCTCCTGCCCCTAAACGCGATCCGGGAGTGCCGTGCGCCAGTCTCAGTCGCCATGCGCGGGCGGGTGGGCGGCGCACACAGTGCGGTACTTGACAGAGTCGGCTGTCGGCCCGCGGAACAGGATCTCCTTGGTGCGGTCTACAGGCAAGGTGGGAGCTCAAAGCTATGTTTCTTGACGAAGGCGATGAGGAGGAGCTTTGCGGCGAGGGTGAGGGGGGGCTCGGCAATGCAGACGAGGTCGCCGAAGTGGGTGAACTCGTGGGTGATGTACACAGGCTCGCGGTAGAGGGGGTATAAGCCGTGCGTGGTCTCGGTAGCGGAAGCCGTACATAGCATACGGCCAGACGTGCTTTGCGCCAAGCTTAGCGCGGAGGGCGGGCGGGAGGGCGGCGAATTTTTCTGCGCAGAGGCATGAAGATCGCGGGGGAAAGCGTAAAGGGGAGTGGGGACATACCCGGTCAGAGAGCGAACAAATTCTTGCAGCTCCCGACGAGCCAGCCAGAGGTGGACTCGCGGGGTGCCCAGAGGCAGTCGAGGACATCCATCGCGCATTGTTGTGGAAAGGCGCTCCCTTTAGATCACGCTTTGAAAGAGTGCATGGAAGCGCACCTTTGTATTGCACTCCCACTGAGCCACACCGCCTCCACTACGTCTCCGCAAATGCGCCAAGGGGGTGAGGGCATATGGAATTGTACTCTGTTTAGGTTTGGCTGATCTTTGGGGGTTACCAAGAAGCAGATAAGCAGAGGAACAGAGATAGGAAGGGGGAGGAAAGGAGAAATCGTGAGTCGCGCCTGGCAGGCCGTGCGCGTGAGCGCCGACTCCGGCTGTCACACGTGACTGACCCGTGGTTTCAAGCGCCGTACCCGAGCGTACCCTGACCCGTGAGGCCACGGGTCCGGGTTTCGCGGGTCCGGGTACGGGTCGAGTCAAAATTACCCGGGGGTGACCCGTGGTGATCACTAGTCCCCGATGTTTTGCACCAACTCCATAAGGGCCTTTTCAAGACCCATCTCGTGCAGTGGGTCTCACAGGGCCACGAGGACGAGCTCGATGCACGGTTTGCCCGTGTTCCCCCATACCCCGGCCTCCGCGTCTTCACGAAGGGAATATCCAAGATCTCGCAGTGGACCGGGAACGAGTTCCGCCAGATGGAGAAGGTCTTTCTCGGTCTCGTTGACGGCCTCCACGACGACTCCCGCATCTTGAAATGTGCGCGAGCTGTTCTCGACTTCATCTACCTCGCACACTACCCATCCCACACCGTCCTGACATTGGAGCAGATGCAAGATGCTCTCGACCTCTTCCACACGAACAAGCAGGTCTTCTTGGACCTGGGAACATGGGATCACTTCAATATACCGAAACTCCACTGGGTTTCCGCCCACTACACCTCCTCAATCTACGACTTTGGTGCATGTGATGGCCTCAGTACCGAGACCTCCGAGCGTTTGCACATCGACTGTACGAAGATGGGTTACCGTGCCTCCAACAAGAGGGACTACCTGAAGCAGATGGTTGTGTGGCTAACGCGACGCGAGAAGATGCGTTGGTTCAAGAGTTTCCTTCGCTGGTGCGACACGTCGCCTATCACTCTGCATCCCAACTCCCCACCACCTGCGTCGTCACAACATGCAGCGAAGACGCTGTCAGGCACTGCTCTCCCAGCTCCCGCATCCGAGGAAAGTCAGGTCATGCATCGTGCTGCGAAGAGGGCTTGTCGCTCATCGGAGTCAACATCAAGTCATCGTGCTGAGAGCACTTCCTCCTCTCCGACCATAGTATCCACTTCTTCCATGTCGTCACCCCTGTCCTCGGAAAAGAGCAGCGATGACAGATCCCATCTTCAAGTACGCATGCATGTCAGAATCACCACTAGCGAGATGACTAATGTAGTCACGTTTCACAGGTGGAGGACTTGCCGTTTGGAGACTACGAGATCGCCCGTCAACCTGGCCTCGGGATCAAAACCGGCGAGGAGATCGTGTCCAACTTCCATGCACCGTCTTTCGGCAGTGCACTGTCTCTGTTTTTGCAGAGCGAAGGCGCTCCCGTAAGACGAGTATCACCCGATAATTTGCTGAAACATCGCTATGGTCTCTTCGGCCGATTCAAGCGTGTACTGCCGTCGCTTCGTGGTACGAGAAATGACACCCACACAGACGTCGTCCATGCAACACCGGGTGACGAGCGAACACCTGCAAAGCAAAGCACAATCCTCTATGTTGAGGATCGTGCCGGAGCGGAGACAATTGGGGTGCAAGGTGTGTTAGTTACACTTAATCATTGTAACATCGCATCGACGAGGGAGTCCCAGGTTATCGTGTTGCCCGAGTTCGCGCGGTATTCTCACTGCCTCCTGAACTACAGGCACTGCGGGATACTCCGACAGACCCAGACGCCCACCTCGCCTACATTGAACTTTACACGTCGTTTAAGCCGCGACCGGAGGAACCGAGCGGCTTATACGCAGTGTCTAAAGCATACACACGAGGTATTAGAAGGGCAGCAATCATTCCTGTCACAGACATTTTCCGCAGCTGTCATCTACTGCCTCGGTGCAGGGAGCGGGTCAACCGAGCGTGGTCATCCACGACAGTACTTGAAGAATGCGAAGAGTGGTTTTTGAACACATACATTGATCATCACATGTATTTATTTGTTGAATGACGCATCCCCTGCACGTTACCGGACATGCGCAGAGCACGACCCACGAATGCGAGTGTTCGGCAAGCACACGCCGCGCTACATCCAATCCCCGCATATATCTAGCATCTCAATGTAGACCCGACGAACCAACACGTCGCTGACTAAGCGAGGTGAATGAACCAGGCGCGAAGAGGACTCTCAGAAGGGGAAGATGGCCCGTACCGATGGCGGCCAAATCCTTGACTGGTTGTTCGGTGACGCGGACGGGTGCTTGAGGTAAGCCAGGGATAAGACGCATCTGCAAGAGGAAGGCCGTCAGCGAATCTTCCGGGGCCGGCCTGCCCTGAAGGAGTTCGAGAGGCCTGTACAGGCGGTCGAGGGGGCAACAGTGTACGTCGAAACCCAGCCGTCGACGCGGCCGCGCGCACCACGACGCGCGTCACACATGTCATGAGTTTGATCCATCCATGTACCCAACACTTTTCATCAATGTATAGTCCGCATCTACCAGTGTATCTACAGAGTTTCCCTCCTCCACACCTAGCCGGATGGATACCCTGCATGCTGGATGGAAACCCTGCATGCTGGATGGAAACCGTGTCTCAGGATCGAGTCCCGGTTTCCAGCATGTTCGGCGAGGATTCCGCGCTTTCCTCCGTGATCCGAGATTCCCGGGAGCACGCGGCTGGAAAGCGCCGTCTCAGCAACGGGGGCGCTGGAGCGATGGAAAAAGCTGTATCCACACGGAGTATAGAGTGTTTCCTGATGCTCGCACGGGTGTGAGTAGAGTACTTCAGGTACTATGCCTGTCTACTGTCTCGGCGCACGGGTCGGCGGCCGCGCGGCTTGTGGCGGATGCACCCTCAATTAGTACTTAATACATCCGATACCGCTGCCCACACCAGCTGGTGCATGAAGCCGAAGCTGGCACGGCGCGTGTAGTGCCCCCGCTGCTAGGATTGCGCAGCGAGCTATGTCGTGTCCCACGAAGGCTAGTATAACTACAACACCTCGAACGCTTCGGTTATGTAAGAAAGTATATGAGCTATATCCTTCGAATACCGGTACCTCATTCCGACGTCGACTCCCGCCTGCGGAACATAATCTCCACAGTCGGATTGGGGACCACGCTGTCGTCGATATACAAGTTCTCCGGACGCGTCGTCGCGCCCCCTGCGAGCTTGAAGTCGTAGTTGAGGATGATGTACGCAATCAAGACCTTGAGCTCGTTCGACGCGAAGAACCGTCCGGGGCTGCGCGTCCGGCCCATCGAGTCAGTTTCCACGAAATCGGCACACGACGAGAAAGGAGCGCACCACGCGTGACGTCCGTGCCCGAAAGGGAGGTACTCGGGCGAGGTGTTGACGAACTGGTGCTTCGTCGCCTCCGCCTCGCTCGCCTCCCGCATCCGCGCCCACCGGAACGGGTCGAACGAGGCCGCCCCGGGGAGGATGCCGTCGTCAAAGTGCGTGCCGAAGGACGACGCGGCGAGGTTCGTGCCCTTGGGGATGAAGGTGCCGTCGGCGAGCGTGATGTCCTTCAGCGCGAAGCGGGTGAGGGAGACTGCGAGACGCGTGAGCAGGGAGGAGGCGAGGGACGGGAGATGGGCTCACAGACGCTGATGCCGTTCATGCGCTGGGACTCGCGGAAGATGCTGTCTAGCTTCCACATCTTCGCGATCGCGTTCTTCGTCCAGCCTTCGGCGGCGACGATGGGCTCGATCTCGGCCCGGAGGGTCTCGACCCACTCGGGCTTGGTCGCGAGGTAGTAGAGCACGTGGGTGCTCGTCTGCGAGAAGGGTGCAAGATCAGTAAGCGTCTGGAGACTAGGAGACGGACGGAGCACGTACGTTGGAGGATGTGTGGATCGCGGCGAAGTAGATGTCCATTACGCGCTCGACGATCTGCATGTCCGTTTGACGTTGCGCGGGGGCCTCTTCGATGAGCCATTGGAGCAGATCGGTCTGTGAGGATTCAGTTCGTTGAACAAGATCGGAAAG